AGGAGCAAGGACGCTACTAGGAGCAATGCAATGAAATCATGCGGACGACCACAGCAAGGTACCCAAGTACTAACCGTACCGTTGCAGTGTGCCTTTCGGAAAGCGGCATTTTCAGGCGCTTCAAAAGGACCTGGGACAAACTCCACTCCTTCTCCAGGAACCTCAGAACACCGAGGTGGTCAAGTTGTGCAACATGTGTGCTTTCTCAGGCTGAAGGGCTGGGTAGGCCATCAGTAGGTGAGCTAGCAAACAAGGAGCTTGCAGATAGAAGCTAGTAGGTGGGCTAGGGACTACGAGGCACCCAGACGTAGAAGGGCTCAGGCTTAATGAGTTGGTTCCTAGAATGTTTAGGAAACTAAACATTGGACCTGACCTGTCCCTTTCCATCTGTTCTTTCCTTTTCCAACACTCTGAGATGCCCTTGGCTTTCCCCAACAGGGATGCAAGATTGCAAGACCGTGAGCACAAATTGTGGACTTCTGAGCCACCAGCTTCACCACCCCCGAGGAGAACAACCATACAAGAAAGGTTGTCCTTTGATCCACATTTTATCGCCTCAAACACATGCGACGTGAGGAGATTGCACACACTGCCACTGTAAAGAGTAAATGATGCATTCAGCTGATCCATGACAAAGGCAGTTACTGTAGTTGTGCACAGTTTGAAGCACTACACTGCAGTATCTGCCGAACCTCGTGGCAGACCGCAATTGCAGCCTGCATGGACAAGAGCTGAAGTCACAAGAAGCACAGCTTTCGACGAAATGGGAAAGAGAGTAAATACGAGATCATGGATGTCTTCAGTAAGTGTCCCAAAAATGATCCAGTAACCGAATTTTCTCCCTGTCCTGAGCCGGATCCACAGGGCCCTCAGCTTTCAGCTTTTCAGCTGCCAAACGTACAACTGCCTCGTTGGGGAAGCTGCCTGAAGACACAACGTGCCAGGTGAAATTTAATTGGAGAGCCAAAGAGATATCGACAAGCAATAAACATCCCTCGACCTTGGGCACTTATAGCCCCTAGATAGAGAGAGAGCGCGCGCGCGCAGTCTGAAGCTTGAAAGAACTCACTATAGTTGCAGGAGGTAGCAGCTCATTTCTCAATGCGATTTAACGAAGAAAGAGAACAAGTGGAAGAGTCTGCTATCTGCAGCAGTGTTACATTGACTCCGACTGTTCTATCTCCCTGTTGTTCTGCTTGTTTCGTTGGTTTTGATTTTGACACGGCTTGCGTGAATGAGAGAAGCTTGCTTCACTTCTTGATACCGTTCCGCAACACTCCCCTTTCTGTAGTGTGTCGCAGTGTGCCTGTTTGTGTGTGGTTATCTTTTTTCACGAGCCAAAACAACTCAGCTAATGGGGGATCTGTTTGCAAAACCATGATCTGTATGAGGTTTGACCGCCATCTTCCCTGACGCGCTTCGAGCAAAATCCTAGGAGTTTGAAATCTTCTGTCCAATCGCGCCTTCTGAGATTCCATCACACACCAGCATGAGGAAATCAGTGGGTCCACATTCGAACTCCTGCATTGAATTGACGAATGAACTGTGCCTTCTGAATGCATCAAAGCAAGCTCTCCATAAGTTCAGGTGCAGCACAAACTGGATGATCCTCGGGCTTTGGACCTGTGCGATAGATTCCGGGAGAGATGCAAAAGCATCTCCCAAAAAGCTGCAAAATGCTGCAGGCATGTAAAGTGTATCTTGCCTCCTGTTGTTTTGTGCTGAGCATCGCCAAAAGCACGGCTGACTGCTAGGTCACCATTCACTCTGGCCACGCCCATAACCTGAGCCAGGAACCCAAGCAAAATCTCACACGTCAGTCGTACTTCCATACTGAAATGTCCTTGACACATAGCGAAGCCGCTTGATCCGCTTGGGCCCTAGACCTCTTGCACGTTTCCGCCCGTCCGCTCGATCCTCTGACGCTCGCTTGGAAGGTCTGGCTTGTGGTCCTGCGAAAGAAAGCCAAACAGCAACAGTTGACTTCCAAAATCAAACACAAGTGAAGCTTCAGAAACTCTCACAGAAATCTCTCACTCTTGCAGTCCGTCGTCAGGCCACTGTCAGTACCTGGGCCTGGATAGATTGAGCCATCTGCCCTGCCAAGCAGAACACGGCTGTCACCGATATTGCCCACACGGAGGTGGTAGTTGCCTCGGGCGTTGGCAACTACACTAACCTACTAGCAATGGCCTCCAACCTAATAGCGATGGCCTCCAACCTACTAACGATGGCCTCCAACCTAGAAGCAATCGCCTACAACCCAATACAAATGGCCTCCAACCTACTAGCAATGGCCTCCAACCTGCTAATGATGGCCTCCAACCTAAATGAAACATGATAAAGCCAAGTTGCCTCCTGGTGTGGTTGGAGCTTTGACAATCACAAAGGTGCCGGTAGAGCCGCTGGGTTGGTTTGAGTCCAGGAACTCCTTGTCCAGGCGAAGCGCCAAAGCTATTACGGCCTCATCGTCATCCGGCATTCCACTCTGAGCCAACTCTTCGTGGATTCGTCTGGCGATGAAGCCCGAACATTGATCACCTCAATTGAGACAACTGACAGTGACAACTGAGTGAATTTGAAAAGACACAGAAACACAGCAAGCACAATAACAAGTACAAGCCAACAAGTTGTTTTCGTGTTTTTCATGTCATTCTCGGCGTTCAGATGCGTTCCAAGCATTTTGGATATCTGATATCTGTACATTTTGCAAGACAGTCATGAATGTGAGACCACATGCAAGAAAGCACGGTATCATATTGAACTCGCCTCCGTGACCATCGAAAACTCCAAAGAAACCCCAAGTGTCTTGGGCGTAGATGACGTGGGCATCCTCCAAAAAGTCACTAAATGAGAAAATTTGATTTGCATGTTTCACTATACATTAGAAATGTGTGTATATATAGTAATAATAGCAAAAGGAACCTAACAACGATACCCTCCATCCTAATAGGGATGGCCTCCAACCTACTGCGATGGCCTCCAACCTAAGCCAAAGAACCTTTATATGTCATACAGATTTATGTAGTAGGTATATGATTTCCTCTTTTCCTCAGTGTTTTCTTTCTTTGCATGGGCATCCTCCATGCTCGGTCGCCATCCGTTCATCTCTGCAAAACCAACGCGAAAGGCTGTGCCACCAACTCGCCTCAGCTCAAAAAGCAATGAAAAAGCAACTCTGAAGAAGAGTCATTTTTTGGAAAGAGCTTTCAGTTTTTTGCATGAAAAGACAAGTGTTGGAGGATGCTTGTTTCCAAAGCAAGAGTTCAGCGCCAAGGAGCTTGACCGCCACCGAGGTGACGGCCTTTGGTAAGCCCTGCCCCATCTTGGCGGCCTTTGGTAAGCCTCCCGTGTGGCCCTCCTGGCGACAGATTTAAGCTAAGCAACTAGTAGCGTCCGAACGCTCCTACTAGTAAGGCCAGGAGCCCTAGTAGCTTCTTGCTCCTAGTAGCGATGCCAGGAGCCCCTAGTAGCGCCCTTGCTCCTAGTAGCGATGCCGCTAAGCAAGATTCATAGACGTTCTTTTTCGACAAAACCCAGGCTTTGACAAGAATGCACAGGCCCTACTTCTCCGTCAAACAGGCGAATTGACAGCACGTGCGGACCTCCAGATTCTTAGATGTTGGGCCAGCTTGAGCCAAGTGGTGCGGAAACGGAAGAAGCATGCGGAAGCACGAGCAAATAAGTTGGAGGGAAGGACTTCAAATTTATTCATGAAATATAAATTGCAAATTCCTGGCTGGCAAGAAGAACGATGCCGGAAGATGCCAAAACATTAAGATATACTTTTTTCAAGCCTCGCCATATTGCTGGGTCTGTGCGCATTTCACAGCAAAGTTCATCCAAAACAAACGGAACCGCCATGGACCAACCCGTTGAAATTGATAGTTATTCAGTTCTGATTGGATCCTTCTTCGCAAAAGACCAAGAAAACTGCTAACAATCTTTATACATAGGTCCAAAGAGAGTGCTATTAGGTTGGAGGCCATCGCTATTAGGTTCTCTTGCTATTAGGTTGGAGTGCTATTAGGTTCTCTCATGATTGAAACACTTGAAACCGTGTCGATCCATGGTGCCAACCGCATCGTACGTCGGCGTTCTCAAGCGGTCAGCGAGAGTCCACACATGAGCTTTCTGAGCTCGTTTTGAGCAAAGCAGTTTTGTGTTTTTACAAGCAATAAGAAAGAGTAAAATTAAGTAAAACAAGAAAGACCGTAAGAGCGACATGGAAACAAGACTATCTGCGTTGCTCACCTGGCTCTGCTTTGCTGAGGGCAAAGGGCTCCATCACTATGAACAAATTGCGCGACGCAATGGCGCCAGGCTCAGCACTGAGTTGGGAAATGACAGGAGAATCTTCCGTTTGAAACGGGCTTCAAGCACCTGGTGAGGGAAATAGGTACAAGCTAGCACTCTCTGTGCCTGAGGTCAAGTAAGTCATGGGGGGGGGGTAGGCCGAGGTAGCTAGCTAGTAGAAGAGGTAGCTAGTAGCTACAAGTTCGCTAGGAACAGGACGCAGGAGAGCGAAGACGCTTCAAATGATTTGGTTCCTAGATGTTTAGGGAAACTTAATATCCAAGATCGACACATACAGCAACATGCAAAGGATGGAGCTTTGATTCCTAGGTGTTCAGTCAAGACTTGTGATGCCTTGTAAGATAGTTTACCAATGAAACAAGTGTCCCAGCGCCGGTGAGACAATCCAAATTGAGACGCTGGTTGATCTCCTTTAGGTTCAATGACACGGCACATGCTTGAGAAGTTCTATCTCGAAGGGCCAGTCAATGTATCTTTAAAGTGAACAACAAGACATCAATCTGATCAATCTGACATTGTCACTAGTGTGAACTGGTTCTGACTGGTATGCCTGACCTTTCATCTTGGATGAAGAGCACAAGAGCACAACATGTTTTCGTGCCAAGCAGCTAGTGTGACAAAGTGCCCAAGCGAATGAAAGCACTGACAACAAGGCCTCTCAAAGCGCCTCGCTCTCAGCTCGCTCAGCTAGCAGCGGCATTTCTCATACGGCCTAGAGCTGCCCATTCCTCAAGAATCTCTGATCTGACAAACTTCTCTCTTTTCCATGGCAAGAGAACCTAATAGCAATGGCCTCCGTCCTAATAGCGATGGCCTACCTAATAACGATGGCCTCCAACCCAATAACGATAGCCTACAACCTAAAAACTAATGGCCTCCAACCTAATAGCGATGGCCTCCAACATGCATTCGTCTCTCTTTTCTTCCCGTTGTTGCCCCTTCAGACCTTTCTTTAAATCCTCACATATCGTCTTCTTTTTGTCCTTTCACATGGCAATCTCAAATTGAGATCATGACGTCATCACCCGAAGGTCGATCACGACCAAAGCGGCCACCCTTGCCTCGATCTTTGCCTCCAGTCTGGAACAAGAGGCAGTTCAAGACATAACCCTTAGGTGATCGGTACATCTTTGCTTTAAGTATTGCTAGAGTAATTCACTAGACTCCCCAGAGGGCCAGACTGCTGCTCTTGCCTGGATTTTTGATGAGCTCAAGATGGAAAAAAGCCCATTCGTTCACAGGCCAGAAGATACAAGGGAAGAAAGTAGAAAGCCAAACAAGCTAGTGTTTGAAGATTGAAGCTTGTGAAATGCACGATTTTTTGGAGCCTAGTGAGGCTTACAAGAACAAAAGCACCAAGGACTAGCTTGGAGCCCTTGCTGCTTTCTATTTTCTATGCTATTAGATCAAAAATCTGGCACTGTGTGCATGTGTTCCACTACATAGACAGCAATGCAACAAAGGCTGCACAACGAAGGCGACAAAGACACAAGGAGACTGCAAAGGCACAGCTGAAGCCTTGGCCGCCTTGTCCACTGATGCTGCCCTTGCCTCGACCTTCAACTATTTCCAGTGGCAAATTGTGCGCTGCTTTTTTTTTGGTTTTGTCGTATCTTTCTTTTCCCTTGAATTCCTCTAGAAAGCTATAAAGCATATTAAAGTATAAGTAAGCTTAGCTAAAGCAGCTAAGTAGCTAAAGTAAAAAGTATATAACTAAAATGTAAAGAAAAGAGAGCTTGTTCTGGATGCCCTCGGGTTCTTCAAGGAAACAAACACTCTGAAACGACACTTGCCTTTAAAAGTATCTGTTTGAAAGCATCTTTCTAATTGAATCTATAAAAACTACAAAAGTATCAATGAACCTATCTAGACAATCTTCAAAAAAGCTCTAGCACCGCTTTTCCTCAAAATAAGGTGTTAAAAGGAAACACTTCTTACAGCCACAATCCTTCAAAGAAGCTCCTGCCGCTGTGAGCGCTGGAGAGGCTTCCTTGGAAGCCTACTTTGAAGTGCTTGGATTGAGAAGCTCCAGAGGCCCCGACCCTTCTTGCCGGCCTTACACGCATCGGAGCACAAACGGAAAGAGACTAAGAGACTAAGGCTAAGGGTACACTAGGAAGGTAAAGAAGGGCAAAAAAAGGCAAGCTGTATAGAGGACTGTTATGTGCTGTTGTCCTGTGCCCCCTGCGTCGTCCTGTCCTTTCCAGTTCGAGCCTCGCAAATCTTAGACTCTCAGAGGAGTCGACTACCAGAACCAAAAACGAAAAACACAAAAGAAGTTCGCTCTTTTCTGTTCTTCTTTCTTTTTTAGCGCGCCCTTACTTAATTAAGTAAGAGAGTAGTTCGCTACTAGCTGTCAGGGCGGGGAGGAGCTTCCTTGGAGAAGTGCTCGCACTAATGATTTGGTTCCTAGATGTTTGTCAGTTTGTCACTTTGTTTGTTTGAAGGTTTCCGAAGAGCACAGGGACTTCTCAAATCTCCAAGTTTGATCCACACTTTGGCCCTGGCCATCTCCTCTATCGTCCTGCAGAGACTCTTCAGTCTCATCGTCTCATGGACTGTAAAGCTTTTATGTGGCTTTCCCTCTCTGACATAAGCGCCTTCCATCTCTCCTCGTTCCAATTGGAACCTTCCGTGTGGTCTGTCTGAATGAAATGGAAAAGAATCTAATCTAAAATGAAAAAAATTATGACCTGCCTCTCTCCATCCCTCCGTCTCCTTTTCCACAACCACCGCAGCCCTGTGTGCCACTGCAACCCTGTTGGCCCTGTGGTGCACAGCCACCGCAGAAGGCTGGACGGCAGCCACAGCCACAACCCCCACAACAGCCTCCACAGCTTTGAGGGCAGCAACCAGTGCAGCCTCCAGTGCAGCCTCCACCAGCGCAGCAACCATAGCCATGACCACCCTGGGCATAGCCACAACAACCTCCTTGGGCGTAGCAGCCTTGACCATAGCATCCGCCGCAGCCAGCTTGGCATCCGCCTTGGCAACCGCCTTGGCAGCCGCCTTGGCAACCGCCTTGGCAACCGCCTTGGCAACCGCCTTGGCAGCCGCCTTGGCAGCCTGCGCAGCCACCTTGACAGCCCTGACAGCCACCCTGGCAACCTGGACAGCCTCCACAGCACCCTCCGCACATACCACATCCTGCCAATACTCTGTAGTTCAAGTGGCAAGAAAAGCCAGAAGAAGTGAATATTCAGAAACAAGAAGCCACTAGGGGCTTCTGGCCTTACTACTAGGAGCAAGGACGCTACCAGGGGCTCCTGGCCTTACTACTAGGAACAACAAAGCTACTAAGTTCGATGTTTGTTCTTTTCTTTTTTCGACAATTACAATGTCCTCCGTGCCCTGGAGCTGATTGTGCCATCATCATTTGCTGCTGCATCATCATCCTGGCGGAAGGCTTAAAATGTTGCTGAAATGGCATGAGACCAGCCAGGGCGACTGTGGATTCATTTGTCCCATCCAATTGCCGGAATTCATGGTCATCGCCTGCAAAGGCATTTCAGGTGATTCATATCACATACTCTTCATGCAAGTCTCACAAGCCTCCAAGTAATGCTAGGTACTCACTTTGTGTCAAGCGAAAGGTGTCTTGCTGTGCCTGTGGATTTGCCTGGAAAGGTTGCATTCCTGGAGATGCGACACGAGTCCAAAATGGCTCGAGAAGAGAAGAAACAGGTGGCAAAGCATGGAGAAGAGGGAAGAAAATTGCTTTCCAAAATGGAAAAGATCGGACAAGGGAAGAGGTGGAAGAGTATAGAGAACAGAAGGAAGTAGATGGGATGTCGAGCGATGGATAAAGAGGGTAAAGGGGAGACTCCCAGATGTTTGACAAAGTGACAGTTGCCCAACTCACCGCAACTGGTCCAGACATGAGGTGAGTGAAAATACACATTTTGGCACAAGGTAAAAGAAGGCCCGCAAGATTGTTGAACGGTGCCTTTTACTCTTTACCTCTTCTTTTGCAGGAATTTGTCCCCCTCGTGGTTGGGTCGGGAACCACACGCCCATAGATCTCATGGTTTGCTGCATCTTCAGAAGTGGCAACGGTGCACAAATTTTCTGGGTACGCATCGTTGCCGATAGTTTCTGACGGGAGGTTCGCGTTTCATCGCTGTTCCTTCTTTCCTTTCTTCCTTCCTTTAGGCAAAGAGACCGAGAATGGCATGCCAATCTCTCCGCTTATTTGACATGTTGTTGCTCATTGCCAAGACTATCGCTGAACCTTCTCGTTGAATCTACAAAAAGTTTCTCTACATGCAAGAATGCTCGGACTGTATGTCTGAATGGATGAACGTCCCAAAATCAATCTGGACATTTGCCTGCGATTTGGGATTTCTGTTCGATGGTCCTCCATAGCATCCTCCAAACTGCTGAGCTGGACCTTCAAGCAGAGATTGGTGCAAAGATTGGATCTGATGCCAAAGAGAAATTCTTCTCTGGTTTTTGGGGGGTTGAGCGCTGAAGACACGAGGTGGGAGTAGGTAGGGTAAAAAGTAGAAAGGTAAACAATAGAAAGGAAGATACTGCATGCAAGGACACAGTAGAGCGAATGGAGCGAGGGTTCTTCAAGGAAGATTCTCCTGCCTGGTTTGGGCTAGAATGTCCTTTCAGAACCCTCGCTTTATGAAACGGTTCCTTGGAGGCCATCACTAGTAGGCCGTTCCTACTAGGTTATACAGTTATACACATCGACCGAAACAAGAGCAAAGCACCGCCGCAGCCTGCCATGCCACTCTGCCTCAAATTCAAACAAGGACACAGGACTGCTCTGCCCAACTGGCTCAAAAAAACTGACTGTCTTGGGCGCGGCATTTGCTGTGCAGTTTGCATCTGGGCATTGCTGGATGTAGCTGGCCTTGTTCGCGCATTGCATTCTAGTCTGTGCCTTTGGACAAAGGTAGACCCAGATAAGCTTTTGCTCCCACACCCATCAATTCAGCAAACATGACGCTGAGTCTGGAGCGTTTGTGCAGTGTCACCCTCAGAGCATGTCTTGTGCAGCACAGCAGCACAAAGAAAGCTTGGCACAAATTTTGGGACACGTCTGGCACAATCTGACAAGCTGAATTGAATAGCAGGCTGGCCTTTGCCATCTCTTTTGGTGGGTCCTTCAACCATGCTGCAAGCTGGAATAGGTCCGCTGAAATCATGTTGACTTCGCAGAAACGAACCTATTGAAAGACGTTTTCAAGCCGTATAGCTCGTGTCCAACGGCGGCTGCCTTCTGCTCGTCACGGCTTCGCCAATTCGAATCACGGTCACGCCAAGAGCCTCGCGTTGCCGTAGCAGGCAGTTCACCAATCTTCTAAAGGGAGTCTGTGCTTAGAGGAGGACTTAGCTACTAGTAGCGTCCTTGCTACTAGCAGCGATGGCCTCCAATCTAATAATAGCGGTGGCCTCCAACCTAGTAGCTTCTTGTTCCTAATATTGTTTGCGAGATGTCGGATTCAACAAAAAGCGCAACTTTGCATTTGCTTCATTGGCTTCTCTTGCCTGAGTCTTTGCTTTTTTCGGCAGCCATTTCCTTCTCCATCTTTTCTTTTTGTTCCTTTTGCTGCTGCAGCTTGGAGTTGAAGAAGCGAGGAGGACCTGTCAAGGCTCAAGTCCAACCAACTCGCCAAGGAATTTTGTAGTTTCATGGCCAGGCCTGGTTTTGATGCCGGCCTAACATGTTTTCGCATACCGATCAGTACACAACAGCAGGAAATTTGCACAGGACAGTATGCTAGGGGCGTAGCGTTGTCTCCGGTTTCGCACCAAATCGCCAGCTCTCTGAGCCTGACTTGGCAAACTTGAAACTAGTAGCGATGCCCTTTGTTCCTAGTAGCTTCTTGCTCCTAGTAGTAAGGCCAGGAGCCCCTAGTAGCGTCCTTGCTCCTAATAGCGCTGGCCTCCAACCTATGTGATAGAACTCTTCTACTGCATCTCATTGCTTGGCTCTCTCTTGAACTCTTTGTCACCACTGGTCATTGCCAATTGCATTCCGTTTACCAACAAGCATCACGTCAGAGGAACAAAAATAACACGAGCGGTTGGCACATTCACATGTAAGGTGCCTGTGGCTCCCGATGGTGTTGATGGTTTTGCAGGTGCCTGTGGTGAACAGTGGAAAAGCAGGAACCGCACTTCAAGACCCTGAAATGCTTGCGCCTTCTCAGCAGACCTGAGCCAAACAAGCCCATTCCGCTCTTGGGATTTTGCTCAAGAACCTCCCCATGAAAAACTGTCTTCCCTGCATTTTCCGGATGGTCTTCGTGATTTAGCTGACGAGTCTTAAGGTTTGAGTGACCCTGGACCCCCAACGGAGTGGAGGGCTGCTGGCCATTCATGGAATTCAGCCGCCCTAGCAGGTTCAGCCAAGCACCAGTGGAACAATGTGGAACTTGGTTTAGTCTGCTCTGCCCTCCTACTACTTAATTAAATAGGCGCCTACTTAACGAAGTAAGGGCTAAGCTAGCTTCTAGGAAGGACCGGAATAGCTCACGCTAATGATTTGGTTCCTAGATCTTTAGGGAAACTTAACTAGTAGCGTCCCTGCTCCTAGTAGTAAGGCCAGGAGCCCCTAGTAGCGTCCTTGCTCCTAGTAGCGGTGCCCTTAACAAATTGGCCCAAGCACCAGTGGAACATAATTCACAATTTGTTCACAATGCATTTCGAGCTTTGCGCCTCGACCCAAAGCTGCCCATGGATCATCCTGGCGCCAGATATAGCAATCCCACGAATGAAGCCAAGCAACTCGTCCGTGAGAAGTCGCAAAAGTTTCGCTCTCAGTACTTCTGAAAAGACAAGTAGTATGAGTATGACTTCCAAGAACCTAGAAGGCAAGTGGCAGGCATGTATCCAAGAATCACTGCCTTCTCCACTTCCTTTGTTTCTTTCTTCTCGGCAGCATGTTCCCTTCGCTTCCCAAGGGCAGCCCACCTAAGTGCACCACGCACACACGCAAAAAATGGGCTGTCTTTCCGCAAACAACTAAATTTGCTAGCCATGGCCTCCATCCTAATAGCCATGGCCTCCAACCTAATAGCGATGGCCTCCATCCAAATAGCGATGGC